CTCTGAGAGCTAAAGATGGTGGTAACAGAGCAGGCACTTAAAGTGAGCAGCATTTCCCTGGGATGTGAGAGCAGGTGATCCCCTTGATGGGACTAACAGGGTACCATTTCTTATCTAATCAGTAATTATCTGGGCTATATGATTAGGGTGTCTGGGGTTAGAAACTGCTTCACAGAATGAACTTTCTCTTACTGGGTTTTGGAGCAGGCAGGTGAGAAGTAGAATGACTGTGAATGGTTCGTTGTTTTAAACTGTGTAATCTTGGCTGTGCATTTGTGGAGGTTTTGGTGCCTGGGGAGTATCAGAAACAGATTCTGGACATTCACCGCACATCCAAAAGGCTTGAGTGGTGGAGACTCAAATGTCCCATAGCAATAGTTAGAAGGAAAGAAATGTGCCCACAGCACCAGTCATGTATGAGATGGGAAAATTGTAAAAGTTGACGCTGAAGTCAAAATTCCAAAATATTGCAGCAACCTGAGGAGAAAAAAACCCCACATTTTCAGAAGTCAAATTCTCAAAGCAGCTTATAGAAAGCCTGAAAGCTGACACTCAGTGATTTACAGGAACCTGATCGTGAGGGAGCTGGAGATGTTCAGCCTGGAGAAAAGGAGGCTGAGGGGAGACCTTCTCGCTCTCTCCAACTCCCTGAAAGGAGGGTGTAGCCAGGGGGGGTCGGTCTCTTCTCCCAAGGAACAGGCGATGGGACAAGAGGAAACAGCCTCAAGTTGCACCAGGGGAGGTTCAGATTGGAGATTAGGAAAAATTTCTCCACTGAAAGGGTTATGAAGCCTCAGAATGGGCTGCCCAGGGCAGTGGTGGAGTCCTCATCCCTGGAGGTATCTAAAAGCCGGGCAGACGTGGTGCTGAGGGACATGGGTTAGTGATGGGTTTTGTCAGTGTTGGGTTGATGGTTGGACTCAATAATCTGAAAGGTCCCTTCTAACCTTGGCAATTCTATAAGTCTATGATTCTGTGACTCTCTTACAACCTGTCCATTCTTGCATTGGCAGAAGTGGCCATATTTCTCTTCCGAAAATCAGAGAAGAAATAGAATCAGAGAATGGTTAGAGTTGGAAGGGACCTTCAAAGATCATCAAGTTCCAACCCCCCTACCCTGGGCAGGGATCCCTCCACTAGAGCAGATTGGTCAAAGCCTCATCCAGCCTGGTCTTGAACCCCTCCAGGGATGGGGCATTATAGCTGAGGAACTCTCTTGGATGTTTCATGAAAAGGTTAAGGAGGGCAGACATCCCATTAAGTCAAAGTTGTAGGTAAAGGTTTGTGTGCATTGGCAATGAGGGAGCTAAGAAATGCTTCACTGCTAAGGAAGCATCAGCTCCTGCAACATGTGGAGCACTAGTCCCCAGAATCCTGTTTCAAAGGCTGAGGAACTCTCTTGGATGTTTCATGAAAAGTTTAAGGAGGGCAGACATCCCATTAAGTCAAAGTTGTAGGTAAAGGTTTGTGTGCATTGGCAATGAGGGAGCTAAGAAATGCTTCACTGCTAAGGAAGCATCAGCTCCTGCAACATGTGGAGCACTAGTCCCCAGAATCCGCATTAACAGAAGAATTCAAGTTTAATGACAATAATTTTGGAATAGTCACAACGTCCCCACACAGAATTCCCCAAATTAGTGAGGCAAATGAATCATCAAGGGCAGACTGTCCCATTTTAACTCAGACCTTTAAAGCCTGTTTTCAAACCCAACCTTATCTCAGCATCTGAGCGTGCTGTGGGTGATGCTATCACACCAAGCAGGTACTCCCCATCATGTAGAAGCTTATCAATCTGGTTTTTGGAGTATATCAAACCAGGCTACGGAAGATGCAGCGAAAATAACACATTCCACACATCATAAGGTGGGCGTGCTGTAATTCCCCTGCTCTCCAGTGCAAAATAGCAAATTTAATCAATTTTGGAGTCACGAGAGATCATTTGGCCTGTGTGTTTGTCAGCCTAACATTAGTTTTTGGGCTGAGGGTGTACACCCTGACCAGGACTATCTGTGCTGACGGTGGTGGCTCTTCATGGAAGTCTGGAGAGCAGCAACTGGCAAGAAACTGTGAGAGAAAATCACCGTCTGCTGGTTAAACCCGCTACGGTCCATGGCTATGGGAGGATGATATGGATTAACTGAAGCACAGGATCTCTCCCAGCCTTTGTAGAAAATCCTCCCGATGAAAAAGGAAAACCCTTTCATGCCACCAGCTCACCAAATAGCCCTCTCCTTCAAACCGTCGGCACCGCTCTCCTAAATTCCTGCGTTATTTTCCATGCCTAAAGAGCACACGTGTCGACTGGCGGCAGCCCAGACCTGCTAAAAGCCATCCGAGAAGCAGGAAAAGTGGCATCCGACTGTGTGAGCCTGCAATAATCCACTAATCTTCTTGAACACATTCGTTTATTTAGGCAGACTTCGGTTATTAGGTTTGACACATATTTCACACGGTTACAAAACTGATCATTATTGTGTAGCTGGCTAAGCCTCCGTTTGAGGAAGGATTGATTTTTTGCACTCATATAGAAAGGCTGTCAACAGAAGCACTAAAGCCCTTTGTTTCTACGTGTGTGATCTATATAGCGTTATCAGAGACTTGATAGAAAAGATAATAGATTTACATAGAGGGGAAAATGTATATACTGTGAGTACAAAACTGCACCACAGCCAACAATCAAAGTAGAAATGGGTTTGGTTCTCTGTGAAATACTCACTTCTGTGCTGGGAGTCGGGTGAGAGGTCTGTTCTAGGAGGTATTTAAGCATTTCTGTAGAGGCAAGTGTAGAATCGTAGACTCAGAGAATCATTCACGTTGGGAAAGATCCTTAAGACCCTCAAGTCCAAGCATTAACCTAACACTGCCAAGTTCACCACTAAAACATGTCCCTCAGCACCACATCTACATAACTTTAAAAAGTCAGGGATAAAACTATGGAAGAAATATTAATTTAGGTCTATTTTGAGGCATTTATGTCTAAACAATGAAATGAAAATGCGTTAAAATCAGAAGGATGCATTTTTGATGGAAGTAGTCACAGTACAGCCTACTTTTGCCCAACTACATAGTATTTTCCTTTAAGTATTTTTCACTAACTTGAAAAAACAATGCCCACTAGATCTTGCAGAAGTAATCAACATTTTTTACAAGTTTCCAGAAAAGTCGGTTATAATGAGGTCACTGAAAGTTAGTTATTAACATTGGCTTTTTGGTTAGCATCTCTTAACTAGGTCTTCAGCTATATTTTACTGTTTGAGTTCCCAGAATGCAGTTTCACTATTTCTTTCCACTGTCTGTGTTCAGTCACTGCTCAGGTCACTGAAAGGCTTTCAATTCTCATTAACAGAACTGAACTCATTAGCAGGGCACAAATGATGCTTCGGCCCAGACCACACGGTGGGATCCTATCCCTTTTCCAATGTTCCTTTTTCAGCTGTGAATGCATGATGAAAGTCCAGGAGATCACTGTTTCCCATCTTCCCATCTTAACAGGGATCTGGGAGGGATTTTGAGGGGCCCATTCCATATCAGTTGTTTCAGAAATATCTGAAGATTGGGCCTTTTTAATCTGCCCAATTAAATCCACACTTAGATCTTTAATTCTAAATTGCACACACTCATTCTCACTAACTGGGTGAATGGAAATCACTGATAAAAGATGCTAGTTTAAAAATGTGCACACATCTTTACATTTTGTGACAACCTTCCAGTGGCCATGGCTGCAGGCTTTATACAACACTAAGTCTAAATGAGTTATTCTCTAGGTAATGAGCTTGAACAACATTTTTACTGCCTCATTGATGCAACCATTCCATAATCAGATTTGCTTTGCTCTTGCAGACCATATATTAAAATAGTCACCTCTCCAGCTTTTGAATGAATACGATCACGAATGCAGTCCAATTCCCAGGATATTATAACACTTTTTCTCAGTAAACCAGACCTAGATAAGAACCAAAGCAAACCCTGAGACGTGCTGTACCATCCAGACAATGAGATTTTTTTCAGTACAGAGCACTTAAATGGGTGTTCTTTGAAAGTTCTCTGAAAGTTCTTTGAAATGGGTGAAAGTGATGTGAATTTTCCTGCCAAAAGGAAGTTCTCGGGATGATAACAGTATGCAAAATCCTCTGTGGGGTTGATGGGCACAAAGTTTATACCACACTCAGACCATATCTTCAAACTCGGTGGAGAACTTGCGTGCAGATCTGGGGCTCTGCTTTGTGCTGTAACGATTTCCCCTGCTGGGGATGTTAATTTGCATACATTATCCTATCAGCATGCCTCTCTCCAGGTTTTATTAGCTTGGGTGAGATGCTTGGGTGCGAGACTGCCTTCAGACATGAGATGGCTCATGCACAGCCAGTGCAAAAATCACTGCTTTCTGGAGTTTTGTAGGTTGTTTCCATGCATATTTTTCCATATTGGACTTTATATGTTTTTATGGCGTCCTATGCCCACTGATACTATATTTAGCCCTTTACTCCAGGCAGTTCTCATCAATGTATTATGTGTTAATCTGAATTATTAATCAGTAACTTGTCCTGCATCAATACACGCCAGCATTTGTAAATGTAAAAATGCAAATCATTTTATTCACTCCAGATGGGAGACGGATTTTTAAGGGTAATAAAAACTGAGCAGAGTAGCAGAAATGAAAAGTGTTTCTTCCTGTATTTAAGCAAAATTGGTCAGTGTTTTCATCCTGACTGAAGGGGGAGAAGGTGAGAAAACGTGAAAGTTGTTTGATGACAAAAAGTGGAACTCTCTCTTCGCCCGAATACTGCTTGGGTAAGGGCTGACACAAGTTTCTCGTGAACTGACTGTCTTCAGAGGTATCAAACTAACTTAATCTCACCCCTTTAGTCCCAGGCTTGTCTGACAGTTAAGTTGCAAATAGTATTAAATATGGTGTTATTATGGTGTTATTATGGTGTTATGGGTACTTGCCTGCTGGAAGTGCCTGAAGACCCAGAATCGCCGATTCTAGCTGCAAGAAGGTCTTGTCCATGCGAAGGATTAGTTTGCTGTGTGTTGTTTTATTGCAGGGCACCCTCCAGGCACAAATCACAGCTGCGGTCCTAAAACCTTGCAATCAAAAGATGTTTCAAAAGATATTGGGCAGGGACCCAGCGTTGGACCCACCTATCTTTTAGGACGAGTCTCTTCTCCACCGCCGTGCCCTACCCCACTCCTTCACCGTGAGCTAAGCGCTCCCCACCCTGAACAACAGCGCTAATTAAGAAAGTTTTGGGCTAATTACATTTCATGCTGCCGCTTAGGTTGACCTAATTTGCGCTTGGCAGTCCCTGCAAGGAAAGTTAGTCAGTGAAGAGTAAGACGCTGTGTTGCAGTAAACAACTCAATCCAGGCAATATCTGGGCAATCTGAAGTAGACATTTGTACGTCTTCAAAGGTGAAAACACAGCATTGTGTTACTTTATCGTTAATTTTTTTTTTTAATTTTAAATGTACTTTAAATTTTATAAACACTTTCTAGGGCAAAACGAAATGGTGTGTCTGTCATAGCACAAATGTTGCCTGGGATGTGTGCAGAAAACTGGTCAATCATTTCCTGTTTGCTGTGTTGTCACTTCACAGCTTTTCCCCAGGAAGGGGAACGATGGTGCCCAAAAACAACCCACAAAGCACACCCGGGCACCCAGTTTCATGTGAGGTCCCTCCCGCATCCCTCTTGGCCATGGAGGGCTGTTTGCAGCCTTAAGCTCCTTTTCAGCAACCTGGTCTGGTGGGAGGTGTCCCTACCCAGGGCAGGGGATTGGAACAAGATGGTCTTTAAGGTGCCTTCCAACCCCAACCATTCTATGATTCCTGGCTTACCTGGCACGTGGATTCGTGTCACAGTCCAACGCCAGGATCTTCGGCACACCCACAAAAAGTGCTATGAAGTTGAGCCAGGAATGACACAATTGCATCAGCAGGGCCTAAGCCTGAGCAAGAGTCATGACACGCGTGGCTGCACCGTGTCTCACGAAGGTGTGAAGGTGCCATGCTCGGAGTAGCTCACCACTCACTTTGCTCAAGCCCTGCTTGAAGGTTCAGTGCGAAACACAGAGTTTGGTCAGAAGAGGCTTGTGAAGATCATCAACTCCAACCTGTCCCTGGAAGTGGGATGGCCACCAATGGTGCTTGATCAGGTCAGCTCTGACGTTGGTCGAGTCCTGGAAGCATTCAAGGACTGAGACCACAGCTTCTGCAGTGCTATGCTACCCTTCTAGTGAAAACGGTTCCTGTAATGTCTAAACTGAACCTCCAGTTTGTGGCTGTAGATTTAGATTAGATATTAGGAAGAACTTGTTTGGTGTGAGGGTGGTGAGAGCCTGGCCCAGGTTGCCCAGAGAAGCTGTGGCTGCCCCATCCCTGGAGGGGTTCAAGGGCAGGTTGGAGGGGGCTTGGAGCAACCTGGTGTGGTGGGAGGTGTCCCTGCCCAGGGCAGGGGGTTGGAACTGGACAATCTTTAAAGTCTCTTCCAACATGATTCTATTTCATACCACCTACCACCTTCAAGAGGAGTTTGGTTTTCTCACCTGCTTCTGACATGTCAAAATACTCACCAAAATCAATATACACTCTGTCCAGCTCACTCTTATCATCATCGTTTCAACACAGTCTGCAGCCAGGTTTGTCAAGGAGGATTTGCCCTTTCCATCCACACGTGACTGGAAATGATTTCCAGGAGGACATGCTCCATGATCTTTCCAGGTACTGAGGTGAGTCTCACTTTTCTACAGCTCCTCCTCCCAGGTCCTCCTTCTTGCCTCACTTGAAGGTGGATGTACCATTAATTAGCCTTTTTCTAGGAAGAAATAGAGATCCCACTCCCCCAGTTTCACCACAGTTTTCAGCTCAGCAGTTGTTTGGTTACTTTCATACATGCTCTACGGACTCCCAACACTTCAGAGTCCTTCCTGATGTTATCCAAGGTACCAGTTTTCCCTTGTAGACCATCTTGTCCATGTCCTTTATTTCCTTCACTTAGGCAGGGCAGCCTGGTTGGAACATGAGTAGAGAGCCATTGAAAGGGGGGGTTAATTACAGAGGCATAAAATTAACATAGGCTGCCGATGAGCACTGGCTATCTACTTTCCACTCAATACAGTTGAAAATTTCAGCCTTAAAAGACATGTTTCAAAACTGGGCTATTTTTTCCTGTTATTTCACTACAGGAGCCCTGCACTCTTTCTTCTGCAGGGGTAGAACACAGACTATTTAGTGCTTTTTGCAACCAACTTACCATAATGTGATTTATACTTCTTTTTTGGCTACCAGCACCAGAGTTTTACGATAGGAGCACTTTGTAAATTACAGCAAATGAACTTAATGGTTATTATGCTTTACTCAAGTCAAATTCTCCCTCCCAAAATATAGTTTACTTAATATAATTTAATTAATATTTTGGACAGGCAGAATGCATACATACATTATATAGTTGAGCATAAAAATCCAGGAAACACTCCTTATATGACTTCACCTTGCCTTTCATATATCACATAATAATAAGGATGCTAAATAACAGTTGGCATATAGGAATTTGCAACACAGAAGGATTTTTTTTTTTTTCATTTATAGCAAATGTTTCCTGAGTCTCTTAAGTCCCAAGTGTGGTTCTTAAATCTCCTGCTTGCTATACCTCAGATGTAAATCTTAGTCAGACCATCGCTTCCTTCTTACCTTCCTTCTATTCCTTCTGGTACCTGAAATCCATATCTGAAATGACAGCGTTAAAAAATGAAATTGCAGAAGCTGGCAGGGGTGATCAATCATATTTACCCAGGTTGTTTTAGTGAACAGGCCTCCCTCTGACAAACCAGCCATGAAATCAGTTAATGGAACTGTAGGTGGAAAGTCTGCTCTGCGCTTTGTGTACGACCCTGGCCTCTGCCTCCTGAATCCCTTGGGGAAGGTGGCTGGGTTCTGGGGAGGTGTCTGCTGTGCCAGTCACCGAAAATTAACTCTCAGGTCTCCACTGTTCCTCCCTCAGAGCCAGTTTAATCCCATTTTGCAGCATCCTCCTCTCTGGGCTCCCAGTGAGCTCTCTTGCCCCGTGCACACTCTTTTTCCAAGTCACAGCATGGTGAGATAGAATCACAGAATTGTCTAGGTTGGAGGGGACCTCCAAGATCATCTAGTCCAACCATCAACCTAATTCTGATAAAAAAAAACAAAAACCATCACTAAAACATGTCACTAAGCACTATGTTGACCTGTCTTTTAAATCCCTCCAGGGATGGTGCCTCAACCACTTCCCTGGGTGGGAATGATGGCAGAAGCAAAGCTGCACATCCAGATACCACACGAGGAGAGCAAAGCATTTCTGCAGTGCTGGAGAAGCTGCACAAGGAAATATGCAGAATAGGTAGGTGGAACTTACTGGAACTGAGATTTTTCTTCTGGTTTCTCCCTCTTCAGTACTTCTGCCACACACACACACACACACACAACTAACACCTTGTGCCCTGGGTACTTACAGCTCACTAGAAGTAACACCAGTGATTGTACAATAAAAAAAAAAAAAAAAACAAACGAGGAGCCAGTGGTGGTTGAAAAGTGAAGAAGGATTTCTGACAGTCTGTTCTGGATGTGTGAGAGGAAGAGAGCATGAGCAAGGCAGAGCCTGAGTCTGACACAGCTCTTCGGCTGCTCCCCTCCATCAGCCCTGCTCTGCCCTCCTGGTGGTTGAAAAGTGAAGCAGGATTTCTGACAGTCTGTTCTGGATGTGAGAGAGGGAGAGAGAGTGTGAGCAAGGCAGAGCCTGAGTCTGAACACACCAGCCCAGTTTTTCAAAGAGACACAGCTCCCCTCCATCAGCCCTGCTCTGCCCTCCCATTCTCTCCACCGCAAGAAAAGGAGAAATTGAACATTTCTCCATCCCCAGCCGCCGTGTTCAGGTAGCTCTGGTCAGATTTCTACCCCGGTGGCTTCTTGCAGCCTTCACCATTTCCCCTTTTTTTTCATTTCCCTGGAGGAATAATGTCCCATTGTTATCCCGCCGCTGACCGCGTGCCAAGGTGACGTCAGGTGAGCAAAGTGCTGCTCCTCCCCATGCCAGAAGTCCTCCTCCTCTGAGTTCTGCAGGGTTCATTGTCAAGTCACAGACAATTACTTTATCTGATACTTGTCAACATGCAGTCAGACGGGAATTCGTTACCTCCAAAAGTGCTTACTCAGCACCCTCCTCTGCTGACTCTGCCCTCCTTTCAGCCTGCCTGGAAGGAAGGAACAGGGTGGAAAGGAGACAAGAAGCTTGGTTTCAAGCCGTTGCTCTCAGAGCTGAACTGGGAAGCTCCTCTGGAAGGGTATCTAGTCCAGCTGGAGCTCTGGACTCCCTCCAAGCAACTCCCAAGAGCCCAGCAGGCAGAGAAAAGGCTATTGAGACCCTTTGTACCTCCTTAGCAGCAGTGGGAGGAGAAAAGCCCCCTGTGAAACCCACCAAGCAGTAGCCATGGTACAGCTGGCAGCTTGCAGGACATGCTCCACATCACCCCTGTCACACAGCCAGCAGCAGAAAGGGCAAAGTCCAGAATTTACACACAACCCCCCCATCCCCAAAGGGTGAGTATCCGTGATATACTAAACAGTCTAGATCATCCCCACATCTGGGCAAACAAGTGGGGACAAAAACTTGGTGCTTTGCTTTTTCTATTTGCATTCTTGCATTATTTTTTCTGAAGCAAAAAGTCAGCTGATTTGTGCTAATTCCAGCTTAGATAAAATGAACTTACAGGCAATGCCCTGCCAGCTGTAGAGCAGCAGGGGAATGAGCAAGGCACCCAATGCTGACCTGACACATCTGTAACGCTGGTGTGGTCTCAGTGGTGTGGCTCTATCTGCCGAGTGACATATTACTCAATTTAAGGGCAGAAGGGCAGGGAAGGAGGCTGTGCAAAAATCTGACTCATTTACCTATAAATCAGCTTATGGACGGGGTGATATTAAGCGCTGGAGCGTGTCCAGAGGAGAGCCACCAAGCTGGGGAGGGGTCTGGAGAACAAGTCCTATGAGGAGAGGCTGAGGGAACTGGGCATGTTGAGTTTGGAGAAGAGGAGGCTGAGGGGAGACCTCATTGCCCTCTACAACTCCCTGAAAGGAGGGTGGAGAGAGGTGGGGGTTGGCCTCTTCTCCCAAGGGAATAATGACAGGAGCAGAGGAAATGGTCTGAAGTTGGGGCAGGGGAGGTTTAGATTAGATATTGGGAAGAATGACTTTCCTGAGAGGGTGGTCAGGCACTGGAACAGCCTGCCCAGGGAGGTGGTGGAGTCACCATCCCTGGAGGGATTTAAGAAACGTGTAGACGTGGCTCTTCAGGGCATGCTCTAGTGCCTGAGATTGTTGGGTTGTGTCTGTTTGTGGGGGGCTTGAGGGGTTTTTCTGGGGGGGCTGTTTTTTGTGGTTGGACTCGATGATCTCAATTTGGGAGGGTTGTTTTTTGTGGTTGGACTCGACGATCTCAAAGGTCCCTTCCAACCATGAAGATTCTGTGATATAATTTATTTATTTACTGATATTTGGCCACTATCAGTAAGAGAAGCAACAAGAGCAAGCGATTATGAGGCTGCTGTAGTCTCAGGAAAGGTTAAGGTTTGATGCTGATACTTTGCCACACAGGAACTAGCAAATTTGTTTTCAACAGCTTTTACTCCAGGTGATTAGATGGGGTGAGACAGGTTTGTTACTGGTAAACCATTTATCGCTCTTTTCGAAAACAGTACACAACATCTATGAAACATAACTGATCAGACACACCCTAGGGGAGATACACCCTTCCTACCTTTGTCAGCCGGCAAAATCTACATTTTTCATCTCGGACCAATAGCATGAAGCCCGCTGGGTGCTCAGAGCCAGCATCTCACCACGTGCCAACCAAACAGCTCTGCTGTGTTCAGATCAGATCTCCAAACGCGTGTCAGTCTGCACATGGGAGCAGCATGAAGTTATCAGCTTACAGAAGCAGGTCTTTAAAACGTGCGCATAAAAAAGTTCTGTGCAAAAAAAAAAAATAATTTAAAAAAATTGCCCTTGTTGGGAATCATGAATCCAGGGGTCTTTACACCAAAACCAACTTCTACTCAGTCCTCCTGCTTGACACAGGCTGGAAAATGCCACCAGCACTTCCTCAGTTTAGTGCAATGCATTATACTTCAACCTGGTTGCTTATCTAGATTTCAGGTATCTACGCTAATATCTACAATTACTATTTCATCGATTACAATGTCTTACAAGCAGATACAAAGAGAAGAACCATGGAACATAGACCATGCTGTCTGTAAAACAGCATCCCATGCAAAAAAAAAAAAAGCCTTGTAGGCACCCTAGACCTTTTAAAATATGAAATAATGTTATTTCATTGAACTTTAAATTGTTTTAGCACATTGAACTGCCCTTCCAATCAAATAAAACCAATATACACATAGTTCAAAAGAGCTGTCCTTCTTATTTGTTAATAATCAGGGAGGTTCCAGAACAGCCTTTAGTTTGTTTTCTGATATCATTGGTCTTCTAACATCTCAAGTAGCCAGCCCAGGTAAGCAACACAGAACTGTGATGGATTGGTACATGCAGACAGCTGGGTATTAAGAATATTGTGCATTTTTCTCTTTCAGAGGCTGGCCTTGGTTTCCTTGCTGCCCCTGGTTCACTGCAGACCATCAAAGACCAGCACTTCCCAAAGCGCCATCATCACAAGAAAACATGGTTGCCTCCTCCTCCAGCACTTGGAAGGTTGAGTCGTGTATCTGATGTTTGAAAGGTCTCCAATGGAAGGAAAAAGTGATGGAAATTGGATTATTGGGGTTTTTACTACTCTAACATACCTGGTAAGGCCATAAGGACTAGAACACAGAAGCATAGAACTGTCCAGGTGGGAATGGACCTTTCAGATCATCGAGTCCAACCATCAACCCAACACTGACAAAGGCCACCAGTAACCCATATCCCTCAGCACCACATCTGCCCGGCTTTTAAATCCCTCCAGGGATGAGGTATTTAGGCAGCCTGGTCCAATGCCTGATAACTCTTTCAGTGTAAAATTTTTCTATGATTCTGTGAAATCGGATTATTTGGTTTCCACTACTCTGACATACCTGGTAAGACCATAAGGCCTAGAATATTACATAATCACAGAATCTTCTAGCTTGGAAGGGACCTCAAAGATCATCTTGTCCAACCGTCAACCCAACTGACAAAAATAGACACCCACACAACAAACAAGAAGCATCACCATCACTAAACCATACCTCCCAGCACTACATCAACCCGTCTTTTGAACACCTCCAGGGATGGTGCCTCAACCACCTCCCTGGGCAGCCCATTCCAATGCCTGATGACCCTTTTGGTGAAGAAATTTTTCCTAATATCCAGCCTGAACCTCCCCTGGCGCAACTTGAGGCCATAAATTCTGCTATGAGTGGTTGACACAACTTGTGTGAGGTTGGTGGCCACGCAAGGGCACAAAATCTTGAGTTCTCCCACTGGAACAGCCCAGACCCTGCCTGTGCACCCCCCCAGTGAGGATTTGCCCCCAGCAGGCAGGGGCAGGACGCAGTGCAGGGCAGCCTGCCACGTCCTGTAAACCCCAGAGATTCACACTCACGTGGGATGCAAAAGCAAACAATAAAGAGACGCAATAGCAGTAGCTTTACCCGGTGAACTTAACTTTCTTCAAAACAGTAGTGACTAAAAGGCTGTAAAGTAATGACTGCCAGAGATTTGCTGCTTTTTTTAGTCAGGAGGCTGATAATCAGCAGTTCCCAAGAAGTGAACTTCAGTTAGTAAGGGAAAACATTAAACGAGGCCTTACGAACTCGGTTCTTTTATTGGTTTAAAGTTCTACAGCTACGTGAAACAAACCCCCGAAGTCAGTGGCAGATTTATAGGCAGAAAGTGCTGTAAATAAATCCTATGACCTCTCTTTGTGGTGGCCTTATCAGCCTTCAGGTGGCCTATCAGACACCTTCAGGAGGACTGTGATGACAGAGCGTGAGATGGCTTACCTTCTCCCAGGAGATCTCAGCAGCTCTTGGCTCTCGACAAGCGCCTGTTTGTGAGATGAAGGGCATTTTGGATATTTTCATAACCCTTGCAGGAGAGAGGGCTGCTCAGGGTAGGAATCCCATTTCACCGCTTCCTTTTGGGACCGGCCCAATATCTGGTAGGTCGCCCACCTCCCACCGTGGCGTGCAAGAGCAGGAGAAGCAGCTCTGGGCCAAAGCCAGGTGAGACGGTAAAAGACGAAAAGGTACATCATCACCTGCAGAAGCAGCTCCACAAAAAACCTAGAATATGACCAGAGAATACCATTAGACCTGGTTAGAGCACACGATCCTTAATTACCATTTCCAGAACACCTTGATGTCCTTAGGGAGAGAGTATATGAAGTTCAAAATGACTAGTTAATAAGTGAGTTTTTCAAAAGCATTTAAATAGGGAAGGAGTTCCAGAGACCGCTAAGTAACGCAGGTAGCTTTGAAAATTCCCCCTCAAGATAATAAATGTCTGTCCCACTATTTGTTAAAAAGTCTTCCTTCTCCAGTGGCGCAGTACCACTTGTGCTATTCTGTAGTCATGTTTTTTGTTCTCTGACCAACTGAAAGCCTAGCCTCAGTGTATCTCGGCGTATGTTGTGCAATAGCAGATCTGGAATTTGCATTTTTTAGATTACCAGACAAAAAAAAAAAAAAAAAAGTAAAATAAAAATAGAGATTGCACAGATATGCACCACCCTTCATTAGAGGCAGCGATATTCTCTCCCACCCAGTCCTGCCCAACCAAGACAATATTGCACATACGCCTCCAGACAATGAGACTACCACACCTTTTTGCCTCTAATTAAAATTATTAAGTCGAGAAGGAAAGAAATGCATTTCAGTCTGTGCTTGTTAGCCAAATGTCTTGATAAAGCTGAACATGTTCTGCTGCTGCCCACCATCTGCTCTTATAAATACTTCTTAAAAACACCGAGCAGGAAAATAGATTCGTCATCGCTGACTTTCACCATTTTATATCAACTCAGGTTTTTCTTGATGCAAACCAACAAACAGCTATAGAATATGATAAATTTTTTCCCACCCCATTAAAATAATTTTGCATTTGATGCATTTCAGTAGAAAAGGTTCAAACCTAATGCGTGTAGGAACCTGACTATGTAGAGCAACAGGGATGTCTATCGAGGACAGCATTTTAATGGGGCAATCCTGCTTTTCCTCTCTCGACCCATTCCTTACATATTCACAGTCCTTTCACTGTTAGATAAGTCATCACAGAAGCTCTGTGACCCCCTGTCTTTGATAAAGAGGAGACTTTTTATAGTGCTACAGCTGTTGAGTCATCAGAACAGCACATGTCTTCTCAGCTTCCTTTTGCTACTGGGAATTCGAACACTTGCAAGAAAATATGCCTTCTCCATTCATGGGTGAAAAAAAAACCCCACCAAGACTGAACCATAGCATCCAGGCCTGTCATATTCCCAGTACATTGAACCTGATACCATGAAGAAATCCCAGCTGATGCAATACAGCAGCCCAGCTGATGATAAATACGGGTTGACGAGAACGTCGATGTTGTTTCATGCAGGCTCCCCATTGAATTTTGGGTCCATCCCCAGGCTTACAGTGGGCTATTTTAACTTCTTTGCCATTGGTGAAGCAGCATCTTCCTCAAAAGTTTCACTTCAAGTACAATGTTATAGTCAATGGTGTTTGTTAGACAAAGGAAAATGGAGTTTTCCTGAGGTTGGTGCTCATGCCTAGAGACACTGTCATTGCTTGAAAAACAGGTGTATATCCTACCATGTGCAGAACAAAATGTAAGCTCTCTTTCCATAAATAATTGGAATTAATGCTTCTTTTTTTTTTTAACTGCTCTTATAGAATCATAGAATGGTTAGATTTGGAAGGGACCTTAAAGATCATCGAGTTCCAACCCCCTGCCCTGGGCAGGGACACCTCCCACCAGACCAGGTTGCTCCAAGCCTCCTCCAACCTGGTCTGGAACTCTTCTTTCTTCTTCCATAGACAAGTGGGAATTAGTCCAGATATTTATAAAATGCAGCTTCACAAAAGGGGTGAATAAATGGTACCAGGTATCAACAATATCCCACCATGAGAAGGTCGGAAGTGACTCTCACAGGTGCAGGTACTAAATCCCTTCAGGCTTGACTTCAGGCAATTCTCTTTTTGGCAATTTTTGGTGAGATAAAGGCTGAGCGTGAAGATTTCCGGAATACCAGGGCTGTTTAAGAAAAAAAACCTGCTCAGCTGATATTAAATCAGTTGCCAGGAGTGTTGGTGCTAATCCTGCCAAAGACCCGTGGCATTCCAGGTCATGTGAGGCCAGGGCTGCTTGGTCAGGAGCCGTTTCACCTCCTTCTCAGGCCACTGCAAAGCTCCACTCGCTGCCAGAAGGGACAAGAAGAGCAGGAATAGGATGGAAAAACCTCTAATACCAATTACAAGAAGTAGGTGACTGTTTTGAACTGCAGAGATAATGAGGTGGTCGAAAGGAACAGCAGCATCACATCTGGACATGATAACGAGGATATCTAAATGGGTTCCAGCGTAGAGCATGCACACAAAAAAGTGCCTTTTCCAGTCTTCTATGAATTAAACTCCACCATTTGCAAATTCTCCCTAGAAATTCCTTAGGAGCAGGCTTTTCTCTCTAATTTCTGGTAGCATCCATTTCAGATTAGGCTGGAAATAGTGTGAAAGAGGCCCCTGACTCACTGACATCCCAGGCTCTCTCAGGCTCCTGACTCCCTCCTATTCAAATCCACAAACTTCTCAGGAAGCACAGGGATATAAGAGACCGAGGACGTTATCTTGGAAGACACGAGGACATTAGACTGGCTGCACAAGTCAGAAATAAAACTGCCTTATTGCTAAGGCTGTTTCTGTGCCAGCCAAGGTGAGAACACAGAGGAAAGGTGAGGATGAAAACAGGCGTTTGGTTGCAACTGGGATTTGCTTCTGTTTTTTTCTCCACACACTGAAATTTAGGGGTTTTTTTCCCCTCCCTTCCTTGTTTTTAGTTGCATGCAAATTACATAGTAAAGTGAATATTTTAAGCTATCCAAAGCTTTCTGAAGGCAATGGGAAGGGATGACACTGACTGAAAGTATGCACTGGGTTATTCCAGGGGTTAATATGACTTGTTTGGAAATGTAAATGCATGAGATGTTCCAAATACTACTTCATATATTTCACTTACTTCACACTATACCTTGTTATTGTAGCACAAGGGCAGCTCAGATGTTGTTTAAAGTTCATAGTTTCCCCCGAAAAAAATCTCAATAAGTACACACTGAACTATTTTTTCAAAATTCTGGAAAACAAAACAAAGCAAAACAAAACCAAACCCTCACCTTCTCCAATCTCTGAAGTTCAGGACTTCTCCCAGACTTGCATCCTAGAACCACAAAGCAAGAGGCTGAAAGGGCTGAAAAAGAACACAAAGAAATTGATGCTGGTTTTCCCTTCCCTGCCTGAAACAGGTAGTACCTTCTGATGTTAATTTCTTATTTAGAGAGGAGTTTATAATTCTTTTACTCATATGCATACACAAACATAGGCATAAATATACAAGTATATGTATGTAGATGTGTTTGTGTGTCTATAGATATGTCAGTACATAACAGTTGGAATTAAATTAAATATAATCAGTACTTTTGGGGCCCAGAAAGTATCTTAGAGATACACCTGTGCCTTCTAGCACAATTATAAAAGCTTTTAACAGGCTCTAAAACACTTGGATAGGCATGAGCAGAAGGAGAATGATTCCATGTTGTTAGGACCATAAATTGTTAGTTGGACTCACATAAATTTTACTTAAAGTGCCCTTTAAAAACTCATAGTTTTGCAAAAACAACTATTATCAGATGAGACATTTTTCTATTTCAGATTTTCCAAATCCTCTGAGGCCATCCTTTCATTTGCATCCGTTAGACGATGACAGAAGGAAAACTAGTGTTAAAATAAGCTTTTGCTTTATTTTTTTTTATTCGTTTTTTACTTTTCACTTTTCTTCTTTGCTATACCACAACCTCTCAAAGCTTCCCCACCTTTGAAGCATTCAGGGGTTTTGAGTAATGAGAGAATAACGTCTGTTAATTTCATTTTCCTTTCTGCCACTTAGGTTTCTACAAAATTGAGAAGGTTTAGAAAAGTTACAGAAGAATGAAAGAAAAACATGCATTTGCTTGTTGCGAGAGGGACAAAAAAACTTAACCTGCCTGCAAGTACCTTCTTGTACTTACTGGAAAAAAAAAAAAAAAGAAGAAATTAAAAGAGAAAAATAAGAAAATCTAAAAGCAGTATTTTGAGTTTGCAAAATTTTTTAACAAGTTGAAAAATAAGTTAAATACCCCAAAAGGCTCCTTTTTCAGTCTTATAAAACAATTTAAAAAACAACCTTTCCTCCATCTCTAGCTAGAGGTGTGTGGTCCCAGCTTCCACAGCAGCAGGAACAGAACTCTTCCTCAGCTTCTGCACATACTTTTAAAACTTTTCATCCTAATTGCCTCTGAACACCAAGCTTTATTTTTTTTGCTCTTTTTTTTTTTTTTTTTTTTTTTTTTTTTTTTTAATGAGCATCATTAAACACATGTGACTCATTAGCGATGATGGCTTAGCTTGGGCCGAGAGGCTGGTGGTTTCTGTCCTGGCTTTCTCTTGGCAGTTCTTCTTCCTCTTGCTCCAGGGGCAGCTCACGAAGCTCCTCCACCACTCAAGTCTAGAGGAAACCAGGATCTGTATTTCAATTTCCCTTCGTACACCCATCTATAATTTATGGCAGCTCAGCAGCTGCTCCTGAGCAGCCAGGGCACCTCGGAGAAGAAGAGCAAGGCAGGTTTCTTGGCTGAAACCACAGGCACAGGACAGGTACGTTAGCACATGCCACGTGTCGCATTAAGGAAATTTGAGGAGTAATGCACTCAGTGAAAAGAAAATAAGATAAATTGCTTGGCAGCAACCTAAATACTTGGAGGGGTTGGAAGGGTGAGGGGGAGCCATTAGGAGTAAGTCAGATCATCACTCAGATCTTGAAAGAAGTGCTTAGGAGGAGCCCCTGGGGAGATACAAAGTTAACCCTTGACAACATATTCAAAATTTGCTGCTGTTTTTAATAAATTCCAGGTAAAAGAGCACACAGTACTGCTTTAACGGGTACCCCAGCCCTTTAGCTCCAGGTATACTGTTTTTGAAACGGCAGGGCTCGGTACACAGAAGAAGCATTTGGGGATGTTCTCCCACAACTTTCAACACAAATTACTTGAAATTGTAATCCTCTTAAAGTTCATGCCCGCAAAAGTTCTCCTTGTCC